CCCAAGGAGTAGGAAGAAATTGCTCCAGACACGGACGCTGCTCCTTTTATTTAAGGTATCATTAAATACAATTCAATCTCTGAATTATGACTAGAAATACTTAAGTGACGTCAGAGATTATGGAATGACGTAAAATCTCTAAATTGGTTTTGCTGGGAATATTGACAGGACGGCATATCATATTGTGACTGGATCGCCGTACTAAGACTGCCTGCACTACATGACATATCTACCAAGTGATTTGTTAACAGTATATACGAACACGGACGTGTCACGATGTTATTTTCACAATAAAAAAGTATTACTGAAATAATAAAAGCAAACACACCTGTCAGCGATAAATGAATTCGATTTAAAACAATTGTCCGTCAAAATCGACTCCAGATAACCGCATTTGGTTCTAATTCGATGAGAAAAGCCATGTGAGTTGAGAAAGTTCAAATACCGTGTTAGCTGTAGCAATTTAAATGCCGTGTTAGATGCAGCAATTTAAATACCGCGTTAGATGCAACAATTTAAATACCGCGTTAGGTGCAGCAATTTAAATGCCGCGTAGATGCAGCAATTTAAATACCGCGTTAGGTGCAGCAATTTAAATACCGCGTTAGGTGCAGCAATTTAAATACCGCGTTAGGTGCAGCAATTTAAATACCGTGTTAGATGCAGCAATTTAAATACCGCGTTAGGTGCAGCAATTTAAATACCGCGTTAGATGCAGCAATTTAAATACCGCGTTAGGTGTAGCAATTTAAATACCGCGTTAGGTGCAGCAATTTAAATACCGTGTTAGGTGCAGCAATTTAAATACCGTGTTAGGTGCAGCAATTTAAATACCGTGTTAGGTGCAGCAATTTAATTACCGTGTTAGGTGCAGCAATTTAAATACCGTGTTAGGTGCAGCAATTTATATACCGCGTTAGGTGCAGCAATTTAAATACCGCGTTAGGTGCAGCAATTTAAATACCGCGTTAGCTGCAGCAATTTAAATACCGCGTTAGCTGCAGCAATTTAAATACCGCGTTAGCTGCAGCAATTTAAATACCGGACTGGCGGTTTATATATATTTATGTCACGACAGAGTCTACAGTCACAACTTCTTGATATGGGCTAGTTTCAAAATATAATGAATGGTATTATATTCTAAATATCTCGATAACAGATGCTACATTCTAATTATCGTGATACTGGGATATCAATCACAATCTGGATATCATATTATCAGCTGTAATCAGACTTTCCTTGAATATCACATATGATTATGTAAGGAATAGTTTATAGTTACAGTGTGGTTATTTCCACATTCATTTAAATCGACTGAGACACGCATGGGTTACCATTAGGTCAGTGTAAACGTGTGCCTGTGCCATTGACAGAGTTACGGGAATATGTAACGTGATAGCTTAATTCACACACAAAGTGTCACGAAAATGTGTCACGTGACAGTTCAATTCACAAAGTGTCACGGGCATATGTCACGGGAGAGTTCAATTCACACAGAAAAAATACAGAAACGTGCCACGTGACAGTTAAATTCACAGAGTGACATGAGAATGTGTCAAGAAAGAGTTCACATAGTGAAGTTCACGTGAGAGTTCAATTCACAAAGAGTGTCGCGAGAATATACCACGTGAAAGTGATGAAATTGTGTCAAGAGAAGGGACTATGTCACGTGACAGTTTGATCCACAGCGAGAGTTTCACAGGCTAGTGTCATGGGAGAAATCACTTCGCGGCAGCAGATGTTTGTGTTTTCACAGAACTCTCAACATGGCTGAGTTTGTCACTAATTCTAGATCACGTGATTTGAGTAGGCGTATTGCCTACGTGAGTGTAAGTAGGCACGGTGAATTGATTACGTGTAGCAATTCGTAAACCCAAACGACGATCCGATAATAATATTCATTGTCAGAAAGATGGTGGGGAGGGGACTTTGTTTGAATTAATATATTGATATATTTCTATCTTGGCAAATTAATCTGTGATAGGCTCCGATCTCGCAATACAATTACCAGATTACCACATGACGTCGTATTTTGATATTCACGAGTTGAATGCCACAGTGACGATTTTCACTGGACATTGCCCCGCGCATAGACATTTGTTTTTTTGTATTTTCAGTAGGCGGAGTATCATAACTATACTAAAAGTATCGCACGTGATTATCAACATGCGGTTAAAGTATTACATCCGTTGACGTGTTTATTGACGTCATTTCTTCAGTAGTTTTGCTCAAGTATGAACAATGTTTTGTGAGAGCGTATCCATGGTGAAGGTAAAAGTCTTTCCTGATTGGTTTGCTGGTGTTGGTGTTAGTGATGGGTAATCCATCAGGGGGTAAGTCTGGGACATACACGCACGAAACTATTTAAGGGGGAACACAATTCGTTTGTTTCTGTTTCTCAAATCCTGGAGATAAGAAGTTAGCTCCATGCTTAGGTTTTACACATAGATGTGGTGACGCGAAGGAAGGTTATGTTTTTGCCGGCGTTTTTTTCGTTTTGTCTGTCAGTTTGGCCTTTCTTTTCAAAAAGAAATTAAAAGCTTACGCCATGATGATAATTGTGGGTTTTTTTCAGCAGTAGACGTTAGGTAATTAGGTAATTAATCAGTATTAGCACAGTATTTAACAGCTGTGACGGAGATTTGTGTTCACATAGTGCTTTCTAGTTTTCTATTAGTTTTTGTAGTATTTATTTTTACAATATTTTGGATGAAACCAGAAAAAAACAATGTTTTTGGTGAAAAAGAATTTGTTGACTAAATACTAGTAGTACATACATACTCGATGTTGGTGTATGTTTCTTTCATACCAATACTGAAATCGGAATCTCAAACCGTTCGTTGTGTTCATACGCGTCACGCATAATTCAAGCGAGATCTTAATCATTGTCATCCATAAACAAACGAGATAGCAAAATGATGATCCCAAATGTTCGTCTTATCTCACTCGTACACAGAACTATAAAACATCGGTTGTTCAATGTGTATTACATGTGGGCTATGTTGCATTGCGATGTTAGCGTTCTTGCCTGTGATGTTGGGATAAGCCCAGGGAGCAAGGCAGTAGGCAGCGTGGCCCAGTGTTCAGGCATCATGACAGTGTACATGTAGAGCTTCAGATATATGTTATTTAGAAGCACAGATCGAATGGAAACCAGGAATGTTTAATACAAGGTTTAGCTAAAATCGCACTATCTTTTCCATGATGAAGCGCTCCACGTTTTCAGTCGACACCTGGTAATTACATCGATTGGTTCTGGCGCGTTGCTCCTTTGACGTCATTTCCGAGATAATAGTCACAACAAGAGGTTTTTAGATTAGTGAATTACATGCGTATTTTGGGCATTCACTTCTGCAGCTCTCATTGAATTTGTGATTGCATTTCAATACAGTCAAATCTCGAGACGTTTTTTAACGATTTGCTTTATAGATTGTGTCATTCTAGAGAGCATGTTTATTTCATCCACGAGAGCAAACTAAAGAAATGATCTTTATTGAGTCTGTGAAAGTCAGCATTACAAGTGGTACGATTATACAGCGATCGGAATTCAGTTTATTAATGGTAGAAACCAACCCCTCGATATGATTGTTGCTAGGTACAATGATCACGTACGCATCGCTCAAGATAATAAGATAAACATGCTTATACGACGTTTGATAAATGTAGAAATTCAATCTGACGGCAGTCACAGAATTTCCATTTCGTGAAATATGAGTTTACACTGAAGAGATGTTTCGTATGCGTCGAGTGAGTGTCGCTGAATTTATAATACTTGTAAAGTAGCTTGTCGCAGAAGAATGGAAAATGTCATCGTATCATGTTATTCACTGGGACACATTTCCACAATGTTAATTCACCTTATATTCTAGTTCATTAAATTTAAAATAACGGTTTTGAAGGAAGTCGAGTGTGGGTTAGTATTTGAAGCAAATTAATGATAATAACAAATGAATTCAATCAATTCTGATCAATGCATACATTACTAAATTATGTTTAGTATTTCTGGAAATGTACAATGAATGTGTGGTTATTGAAACAAAACTAAATATACTGTTTGCCTATCAATATCATAGTGCTTGTTTTCGCAAAATCTTTGATGTTAAAATTACTATATGAGCAGAATATGTGTATATGTGTTTCTTTTTCTCGGTTGCTGTCGAAGTTAACAAATTTAACTTATGATATTTGTTCTTTACCACGTCGCAGCTTTCTCATGGTATCATTATTGTACTTGTGTTCTATTCCTATGGGCCGACGTGTTATACACGTAGTAGAGTTTACTAAGCAAAATAAAGTTACTTGTTTTTCATGTGGGTATTCCTGTATTGATATCTCGGCGGAATGTCCGGTTATACATGTATATGACATTCAACTTTACAGATTATCTGTGTTCTCGCGAGGCAATTTAGTTTCGCCAACTAACAAACAAGAAGAGGAATGAAAATACTAATAATACGGAAGTTTAATATGTGGCCGGAAACATGATTTAAAAACAGTTCCAATTTCAACTTTGAGGGGACTTACAGGTGACGCAATTATTCACTGGATTCGGCATTAAAGTAGAACAGGGGTAAAACGTGTTAAAAGTTGACCTGCGATTCAGACATTTTTGTTGAAAGTTGAAAGTATGCAATTATAAAAACATATACATCATCTAAAATTATAGATATAAGCGAACACGCTTGTGCATAAGTCATACTAATGTTCGTCTAAAGGATTACCTGGTGGCCAATTAAGTAATTGTGCCTTTTTGCTAGTCCGGCTATTGAAGATATCGTTATTTCAACACCAGTCACGCGAACAAATTGTACACTGAGTGGGAACGTTTGTAATGCTTTAAGCTGGGCGATTGCGTCTCGGTTTATCTTTACATGCGTTTGTTTTCTAGCTACGGCCAAATAACTACAGACATTATACAGACAATCAGTCAGTATACCGTTGCAACTTTAACGTGCGCGACTGTGGATCAGTTCTAAAGAACATAAATAATGCGAAATTGTTTACCTAGATCTGCTTTCTGTAGAATCAAATATATCAATACCCACCTTTTCTAGTATATGTAGTCCTCTGTAAGCCTGGCTATGTTTAGACCAATCTTTGTGTTTGGAATCACCTTTTCTTCGACTGGGCAGGACGCTATTAAACCCCTTTACGTGACTAGGACTGGGTACAAAGCTGTTATGTTGTCCTTCCTTTTCGTTTTTTTCAGAAAACGTTTGGCTTGATATGGGTGGTAAATCTACAAAACTGCCAAATCCGTCGTCACCCGGCGTCTCCAAAAATCGTCCAAAGCCTTCGTCGGCAAATCCCCCAAAATCAGTGTCTATATCTCCATCGTCAAAGTCACCAAAGCCTCCAGTGTCAACAAAATCTCCCCAACCATCGTCGGCTGGATCGAATACATCGCCGAAACCGTCGTCAAACGGCCCGTCACTGTCTATAAATGGGTCAAAGTCTGAATCTTTGCTCTGAAATGGAGCCAGTTGGGCTGATTGCGGTGCGATCGGTGGTTCGAAGTTACTGAAACCGTCATCCCAACTGTCCCGTCGTCTTATTTGGGATAGGTGGTGTAGTGTCCTTCGATGTCGCTGAAGAAATTTAGCTAAACTTAGCGGGTATGCATGGCAGTGTGGTGGGAGAAAAAGAGGCAGTAGTGTCAGAGCCACGAGAAGAACACACATCAAACACCTTGCCATCGCGTGCTAACCTGGCTAATCTGTAAAGCACAGCTGGTGGCGAGGATGGCTGCAACCGCTGACTGTTATAACTGTTCGAAGAGTAGAGAAAGTGAAAACTCGTTATAATACATAGAACAGCAGGACAGCAATCTTAATAACGCAGCTTTCAACTGAACTGCTGCGTCGGAAATAAAACCTAGTCATTCAGTTCTCAATTAGATAAATTATTGTAGATAACATTTAACATTCTAAGTCAGATGACGACAGCGTCATGCCGAAACGATCATTTTGTATGCAATTACACTTATTACATTACAGTAAAATACCCTTAAAAATGACAATATCGAGTTAGAATATATCCTCTGTTAAGGGCAAACTATATTACCAATTCGATTTAGACCCACCGCTTCTCCTGACGTAAACCGTGACTGAATTTGCAGGATTTGCTTTATCAATGTTCTGCTTTTAATTTCCCCTGCATAGAACTCGGTATCAATCTTTTTACCCTTTATTTGTTTTCCAATGCACCCTTAATTGCCCCCACGTCGCTTGCTACTTTATTCCTAGTTGGGGAGCCAATCGATGTTGATCCAAGATTGTTGCAGTGACGTCATTCCCCGGCAACCTGTTCGTCCTGCGGGGCGAATTAGTCTCGCTCCGTTAGTTACGCCCCAATGATACGTTTGACAATAAAGCATGGAGTGTAGTGAGCGAGTGAAATGAGTGGTATACACTATAATGCCACGCAACGCCCTATAACTGTGTACCCACGCTCACATTTGCCGTGTATAGAACTTGAGTGACAAATCAACATTGCATGCCGCGCGGTGCCGCGTACATTACGTAACTACGTTTGCCAGGTGACGCGCACGTGATATAAAAAAACAAATTGGGTTTTGAAATGTTCTACTTCCCCCGCGTTCGTTTTTGTAAGCCAGCGGACAAATTTTATAATTAAATACAATCAACTAATAAATATTAAACAATTCAATAAACAAATATAGTTAATAAATAATTAACAAACAAATAAATATACTGTAAAATACATTATTTTCGCTTAGAATAAATTTTACCTATTTTCGCTAAAGGAATGATTCAGTGAGAATAAAATCCAGCGAATATACGTTTATTTTTCTTATATTTTACATTCAGCTCGTCAAAAATCAGTCAAAATAAAATCCATACAAAACACCCAAAAAGTCTTTTCAGCGAAAATTAATTCCAGCTAAATAAAGTACCTCACAGAAACACCGTGAATCTCGGCCATGCAGAATAGACTTGTGAATAATTGGGACTGAATACGTCACAATTACTCAAGCCAAGCATATTACCGTAATTCTTTTTCTGGTAAAATACACTCATGGGTAAACCAAAAAGAAATGAGATTATAGTGGGAATGTTTTATCTAAAACCTCTCGGTTGAGATAATAGCGCATGTCGTTTATATACAGGTATCAGCAACACTGTTGGCAAGAATCCACATCTTTGAATATATGTATATGCCTCGTCTCCTTGAAAACAGACACCGACACTATTGGTGAAACGATGCGTAAATAAGACGATCAAATTCAACTATTCGTCTTCTCTGTCATGAAAGTAGCGCCTTAAGGTAGGTATGGGTCTAACGTTACAAAAAATGTAACTATATTGGTCTTATACTTAGTCAAAGAACGTATTTATTTATTTATTTATTTATTTATTTATTTATTTATTTATTTATTTATTTATTTATTTATTTATTTATTTATTTATTTATTTATTTATTTATTTATTTATTTATTTATTATTTATTTATTTATTTATTTATTTATTTATTTATTTATTTATTTATTTATTTATTTATTTATTTATTTATTTATTTATTATACTTGCGGTTGTAGGGTTATGTTTTCACACTTATACCGTAACTCTGGACCACTTGGTTAATTCGTTATGTTTAGTTAGATTAGATTAGATTATGCACGACACGTACTCACAGACTGCATGGCGTAAGGCTGACAATTACGTGTCAACTACGACTCGGTGTTACGACTTCCCAACCCCAACCCCATCGATATCGTAATTGTGTACTACGCGAGTAGTGCGAACATCGCGCCCACTCGTCGTGGAAAAAAATAATTTTATCACACAAATCATGTTACCTTGAGGCTTAGCATTCCTTTTTAATAGTATTTCAGCTACCAGGATTCAAATTCGTTTAAACATAATTATTGACAATGTCACAGCGTGGCAAAAATGATTACATTTGTCAGTCACGGCACTAACCTATAGATACAAATTCACACCAGTGTTTACAGATATGACGTCATAGAGCATTTTTAGCAAATGAGTAGAAAATGTAATAATATCTTTGGAGTAGCAGTTGCATAGAGAGAGTAAAAAAAACGTCTATTGGGAAAATAGAAATGTTACATGAGAGGAAAAACTCCGAGATAAAAGTGCGCAGAATATTTATATAGTGAATTTTTATTGAATGGTGCTTACTATGCACTGACACGCATCTGACATTTCGACGTTTTCAACTTTCTGTGTTTTGTTAGCTTTTATATTGTGCACACATGTCTATTGGAAATTGCAATGCACTAGTTTACGAGTTATTCTCATTAACTGCTCAGGGATTATGTGACGAAGCTTCTTTCTCCACGGAGTGTGGACGGATTGAGCAGAAATTCTGCTCTGTTCACCATTTAGAGAGATATGCTAATTAACAGAGGTTAACAACTGACAAATAGAACAACAAAAACTTATGCATTGAATAAAAAGAGACGAAATGTGTGTCAACAAAAATTGGTATGTGTTCAACAAAAAGATAAATGCATTCACATGTTTTAGCAAAATCACAGTCCCTCTATCCTATCTAAAGGGACTGTGGCAAAATGCACGATTCGTTCAGCTAAATACCTTGAATAAATAAAGTGTTTTAACAGAAAAATGTGATGCGTTCAACAAGAAGAGGATATATTCAAGGGAAGGTTCTTTTAAAAAAACAATTAACAAAACAGGAAGGCAAACACAAAAAGAGTGACACAAATAAATGAGACAGAAGTTGTTGAAGTAGCAATAATGTCTGGCAGGGGCATGTGTCTACTGAAAAGTTGAGGATCGCATCTAGTAGAAGAGTATTTCTAGTGAAAATTGGAGGGTTGCATCTAGAAAAGAAATTGAGGATCCTGGGTTGGAACACTAAAGAATACTAGACCAAGGTTCATAGCACAATACAACAAGACTTTTATTGTTGAAACATCACATCACTATGTTGACAGTTTCCAGTGGTCAAAAACTCTCGTTTTAATTCCGAAACTTGTGGGCGAGTCATGTCTGCCACTCAATCAAAGTAACTGTTACACAAAGGGGGTAATAAACAAAACAAAATTGCTACGTTATTCCCATTGTGCAAAATCGCTGGCCGAGTGCGTACATGACAGAAAAGTGGATGGTTGAGTCTGAGCCTAACTGGTCTAGTCAAATATGGAGGGTTGTGTCTAAGAGTGTCTCGTGAAAATCGGAGGGTTAAGTTTAACAAATTAAAAATCAAGAAAATAAAGTCGCATTCAGTGAAATGAGAAGAAAAAAAAATCACTGAAGACAGATGTGTTTTTATGTCATATGGTGCATATAAAAAAGTTCATTTAACAAAAATAAAGTTTAACAAGAAGATTTGTTTTCGTGGCCAGTATTTGCAATTAAACTAATTCGGTAAAAGTGTTATAACCACGCATGCGTGTACAGTCATGGCTGATTTCAAATGACAGAATTCGTCGTGCGTCAAACCAGAAAGTAAATTAGCCATGAGTTGTGGATAGTTAGTCGGAAATTGGTTATTTCATTTTCCAAAAAATTAAAGCATGCGTCATCAAATAATAGCTCATTTTAACAGCAAATTGTCAAATATTGTTATTTACTTAAAACCAAGTGAACTTTGTGGGTTTGGCTTTACATGTAGTCACTATGGTTACCGTATTTTCATCATATTAGAGTTACAGTCTGGAAGTTCAGCTCAGCCAATGACAACATACCAAGCCTACGTAACAATGCACATTAATGCATGTAAAGTTGACATGTGTACCATCACGTTGACGTCATATTAAAATTAATATATTAATAAATAATGTGTTCACTAACAACCATACGTCACTCCGTGTACGTCCAGATTTCAACCGATTCCTTGCGTATGGGAAGTGCTTGACACGACAGCCAAAATCACGTGACTAATTACAATCGCCGCCAACGTGTCATACACGACATTGATACTTATTTTTAAATTGTACATATCAAGTTAGCTGGCTTGATCGTTTCAAGAATTACAGTTCATACGTCACAAAACCTTTTGAAGTGGGCGACGTAAAGGCATGCCGCACGAGTTGACTGCAGTCGTTCGGATATTTGACCGTCTTACCACACGTCACACTGACTTACCAAACTGTTTCAAGTTGGCTGTGCAAAAGTCCACGCTTGTATGTTTTTTAAGTTCCCCAATGCAAATTACATTTTCTCACAGTATATTGATTACTGATTAATTAAGAAATATTCATATATTCATAATCCAATTTCCACGGTACACTGAGACCTGGCAGTATTCATTTATATATTAAATGTTATTTTGTATTAAAAATGACAAGTATCCTCATTATTTAAAAATATATTCTGTGTGACTGGCTATTGCGATGTCTGAAAGATAAAACCTCCGCGAAATATTTTTTTTTTGAATTAAGAACCTTAATTTTTTGTGTTTTCAATCGTATTTTATTATTTCACCGTATTCCTTGTCCCGGTCTTTGTAATGACTGATTCCTTTCCTAATATTTACAGTTCTTTCATACGACTTTTTCTGCAGTGAATGAAAACTGTTTTCGAAGGAGTGCCTGAGTTTTATTAGAGCGGAAACTAACGTCACTATTTTCTCAAACAGCTGAACACTCCCTGCACCTATTTCTGAAATTACAGTACATGTATATCACTGGTTTATAGGTGGTTATACGGCAATAACCTGATCACGCCAGGGAAATCACGACACCTTTACGTGAGACGTGGACGAAATAAGAAGCTTTTCAAACATGTATCAACTGTCTCGCGAGAACCTAAACGGAAG